TCCAGCCTGGGTGATGAGAACAAGACTGCCAAAAAAAAAAAATCAGTACAGCAATATAATGGAATGAAGATTTACATTCATTTTACCACCTGCTCAATGTTTGCTGTTAATAATGACACACATCATAATCATGTAAAAAGCCAAAAACTATAACCACTTCAGATTAAAGACATGCAAACTATTTATTGTCACAGTATGCTGTGTTTAACTCACTCATTTATTTATAAATTGACTTGGTTGCCAATATTTGAAATCAGAAGATGTTTATCTCAAATCCTACTTTCCATGGGAAATTAGACAATCTGGAAAAACTTGGTCCATATTATGACATTCACACAAGACACATAGGTAGAACTGGGTGACAATGTCCTTTTTAGAAGGTGCCTGCACTTTTCATTTCAACCCAGTAACCACCACTTTGTTTTTCTCTAACATGCAAACCATCTGGATTGCCATTGATAATTATATGTGCACAGCTGCTTTTCTTAGAATACAGAAATATTTTTTTTTGCATTCATGTATGTGTAGAAAGTGGGAAAATGGGCCAGGTGCAATGGCTTATGCCTGTAATCCCAGCATTTTGGGAGGAGGCAAGAGGATCACCTGAGGTCAGAAGTTCAAAACCAGCCAGGCCAACATGGTGAAACCCTATCTCTACTAAAAATACAAAAATTAGCCGAACGTGGTTGCAGGTACCTGTAATCCCAGCTACTCGAGAGGTAGAGGCAAGAGAATCTCTTGAACCCAGGAGGCGGAGGTTGCAGTGAGTTGAAATAGCACCACTGCATTTCAGCCTGGGTGACAGAACGAGACTGTGTCTCAAAAAAAAAAAAAAAAAATGACAGAAAGTTGGAAAATGAAAGGTTGACTTCTCCACAGATTTTGTGCAAAATGAGACAGAGAATATTTCTTTGTGGAAATAATTATTCCTACAAGTCTAATATGCAAATGAAGTATGTCTGCATTGTAGACATTCAACTAAAAATATCATTATAAAACAAACCACTGTAAGAATAATGACCTCTATAAGGACAAAACAAGTGAGGTGTCAAAAAGGATTTGTTTGGGGATGCAGAAATGCTGCTATAAAATGCATTTACAAACTTACTATCTTCATTCTTATGCCTGATAGTCCCCACACCCTAACCCCACATTTACATGCTGCTGCAGTGGCTTTTGAGTTTGCAACTTGCTTTAAATAAATAGATCTACCCCCCCCACACACACACACACACACACACAAGACACCCAATTGCCCTCTATCACCACCCATAGGGACCCAACATACCGACATCCAAAGATATCACACCAACCCAACATGGTATGCTTCTGGTTAATAGTTATTACAAATCATGGGAAAGTGGTATGTGTGTACTTTAAGATGATTAATAAAATTCAGTGACCTAATGGTGAAACAAATAATGAGGCATTTATACAATTAAATATGTCAAACAGATTGGTATAAATTTTGTCTCTAATCCTAGGCCAGTAAAGAGGTATTAGAAATAAAGCCTGAAATATGCTCCCAACTTCATATAGAGTATTCCAGATAGGGAGCAGGGACTGAATGATATACCAAAAACACATTTCTAATATTTGGACTAATAGTAGTTAACAACCCCAAGCACTAAGTTTAAAAAAGAAGAAGCAGCACAACAACAACTGTTGTTGCTAAAGTAAGAAAATATTTTGGGCAGATCAGAATTTAGTCACACACCAGTTTTGATGCCAGCAGGTCATGCTCAGAACAGTCTGCCCTAGAACCATGAGTAGGGACTGCTGAAATTCTGGCAGGCCCAAGGAGTGCTAAATCAAAGACAGACCTTCCCAGAAAGAGGAAAAGGCAGGATGTCTAGTAGCAAAGTTCAAGCAGGCAGAGTACTGACCTCTTCTGTCTAACGTCATTCAGATCAAGAGCCGAATGGAGATAAAGGACATTATTACGTAGATTTTTTCTTTTTTACTGTTGTAAGTAATGAAGCCATAGAAAAGAGGCTTAAGGAGATTCCTCACTAAGCCACAAAATCATTACAAATGCACCTTGGTGGGATAGTGCTACCTCATAATTACAGGACTTGTTTATTGCAAGTTTTCAGACTGTATTCTCCTATCCTTGCAAATCTAACAACTTCAGCCACAAAGCTTGTTGCGACAGAAGTTGTTAGAGCAGTTGAAAAAACCAAGACTGTTCGTTAACTCTTGTGGCATAACAAACTGCCCCAAAATTTAGTAGTTTAAAACAACCATTTCATTTTGCTCACAATATGAGGTGTTAATAGTTCAGGAAGAGCTTAACTGAGCAATTCTCCTCAGAGTCCCTCTTACAGTTTCAGTCAGATATTGGCTGGAACGTCAATCATTTGAAGGCTCAGCTGGACTGGATGTCAAAGATACCTGGCAGTTGGTGCTGGCTTTCAGCTGGAGGCTTAACTGGCGCTATTAACTCAAGCACCTAAATGCTGTTTCTCCATGTGGCTGGGTCTTCTCACTGAATAGCCACTAGACTGCAAGAGATAGTGTCTTAAGAAGGGAGAGTCTGAAGAGCACAGGAACCAAACATTCCAAGAGACCAAGAGTGAAGCTACAGCGAGACCCAGCCTTGGAAGTTACTGAGTGTTATTGGCACTGAACTTTATTTATTAAGGAAATCACTATGACTAGCCCAGAATCAATGGAAGAGAAATTAAGACCCTATGGTCTAGGAAAGAAGTTTTATAAAATTTGCCATAGTTTTTAATTCATCACAAACACTTTTTCCTCATTCTTCTGTTAATCCTCTATAACTGCTTCTTCTACCTTTTTTGTGTTACTATTCCCATCTAAATTTTGAAATAAGCATCATTTACTCTGAAGCTATGGCTTTTAATTGAAACCCTTGCTAGTAGTCAAGCCTAGACATATGGAAAATAAGTTCTCTTTTTAAATTTGTTTCTAACATTTGCTCTGTTTTTGTGATACCAAAACTGTTGGAAGGAGTATTTCTCACCTACAGTTTGTGATAGGAATGCTATTTTAGAGTTAAAATTTAATATACAGAATTTCAGTTAATCTTCCTTGCAGAAATAATACAAAACAAAGTTTCTTAAGCTTAAAAGTCAGAAAAGACAAGCAGTAGACTTTGTTTTGTTACATGCTGTTCTAGAACAGTTGGTTTTATGTCATCCATTCTTAATCATAAATTACCTTTAAAAATAAAACTCATAATATCACATTTAATCATTCTTCTTTTGTTCTATGTAAAAGCATGTATCTGTTCTCTTAAACTTTACAAAGTAAAAGGATATTCTTATATTTCCCAAAATGATCAAATTGCTGTATCTTTTTTTCTCATGGCTAATAAAGCATTTAAAGTTCCCACATCCAAATCAGATGGCTTATTGAAAGGAATTAGGACTTAACATGGAAACAGAGAGTTCCTTTGAAATACACCATGGGGGCCTCTGTCCTAGTCTACGAAGCTTCAAAAATGTTTTTCATCACATAAATCATATGCGATCCAGTTTTGGTTTTTATCCTTTTTTTCCTTTCTTTCTTTCTTTCTTTCTTTCTTTCTTTCTTTCTTTTTTTTTTTTTTTTTTTTTTGTGAGACAGGGTCTTACTCTGTCATCCAGGAGGCTGGAGTGCTGTGGTATGATTGTAGCTCACTGCAGCCTCAGACTCCTGGGTTCAAGAGATCCTCCCACCTCAGCCTGGACTACAGGTGTGTGCCACCACCATGCCCAGCTAATTCTTTTTTTTTTTTTTTTTTTTCAGATGGGATCTCACTATGTTGACCAGGCTAGTCTCAAACTCCCGGCCTCAAGCAATCCTCCTTCCTTGGCCTCCCAAAATGGCTGGGATTACAGATTATAGGTATGAGTCATCACGCCCAGCCTTCATCCCTTTTTGTTTGCATAGGAGGGGGGTGACATTTTCTAGAATCCAATAGTGGTTGTTTCTTCTTCAGTTTCATCAATAAAATTTTCCTTTCTCTATGATGTTGTCATATTCCTCCTCCTCTCCCTACTCATCTTCTTCTTTTTTCTCCCCATCCTCTTCCTACTTCTCATATTCTTTTTCTTTCTTTAGTATTCTGTATTCTTGAACTGGACTTACATCAAAGGAAAAAAAAAAACAAAATAAAAGAGGAATAACTAAAGTTTTATATATCTTATACTTTAAAGATTTATGGAATCAAATACATGGCTATTCAATGAACCTACCTAAATTTGAAGAGCTCTGGTTTAGTTGACAGTCATTTAAGTTAAAGCAAAAAGGCTATTAGAGCAAAGAGGGAGGATATTAAGAGGTTAGTAAATTATTAAGGCAGAAACCATTTAAAATATATAAATAGGTAATAGGCAAATCCATAGTGACAGAAAGTACCTAAGTGGTTGCCAGTGACTGGGGGGACCACAATGGGGAGTGACTGCTAATGGATACATGGTTAATTTTGGGTGTGATGAAAATGTTCTGGTAACTAAGTACAACTCTTCATGTATTGTTTTCCCTAATACTCCTATGTGCCCTAGGACATTCTGAAAAAAAATCTAAAGTTTCATCATCAACCCTGAATAGGTTGAGTTACATCACCCAGGAGGGGTTGTGAGAGGTAAGCTGGAAAGAAGTGTTCTGAGGAATAAAAAGCCAAAAATAATCCTGAGCTGAAAGTGCTGCCTCACCACCCCCATGTATGGCTCATTCTAATCATATAGATGATCATCAGTTCATCCTACTCTAAAGATTCAAGAATTTAAATTTGTTTCCTCAAAGAGAACTGCAAAACTCAGAGATAAACTTGAGTAAACAATTAAGGTGTTTATTGGTTTATAAACTAGAAAGTCAAAAGGTAGGGGGTACTTTAGGGTTGGTTTGATGCAAGAGTTCAATGATTTTATCAAAGACTTAATTTGTCCTTTCTCATCTTTCCTTTCTACAGCGTGCACTTATTCCAAGGTTTACAACCTTCACAATACCACAGTGGTTACAATGGTTCTAAGCTTACAGAGACATATAAAATTATACAGACAAGAGATAACATGTCTTTTATTTGTACTCTCAGAAGAGCCAAGAAACACTTTTCCCCAAAATCCCCTTACCCATAACTCATTGGCCTGCCTGGAGACAGGAGTCCATTTCTGACAGAGAAATGCTGACCTAACTGGTTAGATTAGACAACTCCAGGCCTCAACCAATCACTGCATCAAGGGAAATGGGCTTACTGGAATTGGCTTTGGTCAATCACAGTCCATATCTGGTGATCAACTGCTTTCAAAGCATATCAGCAGGGGGGACCCAGATGAAAATTTAAGTACTTTTTTAGGCAGGAGAAAGGAAGTAGTAGATGCTAGAAAGACAAACCATATTCACTATCATTTTTCTGGCCAATAAGTGAAAATATGCCTAGTAAAGTAGATAAAGTGAAGTAGGAGATAGAGTAACAACTTCCCTTTTTTTCAGCAATGGGATGTTAGAAGTAAATGGAATCCTAAAATGTACCCAATCTGAACTCTTCATTTTATAAAGAAACTGAGACTCTGGTTAATTGATTTGGCCATATTTACAAAGTCTGGATAGCCTGTTTCCTAATCAGTCATTCATTCAGCAGCAATTGTTTATCAAGAATTTACTATTTGCCAGGAACCTCTCTAGTCACTGGAGATACAGGAGAGAATAAAACAAAAAAAACTATGCTTTCCTAAGTTCACATCTTATTGGGGGCCTTTTCCCTAAGGTCATTACTCCCACTCGCTGTTTACAACAACCCCAGGCGTTCTGTTTCCTCTCTTAGCTCCAGACATCTGCAACCTGTGCTCCTTCCTTTTGCAGCTACCCAGCTTTCAGATGCAGCTGATGCCATGGGCTTCAGAGACCTGAAAAGCCCCACTGGCCTCCAGGTGCACAATGATTACCTGTCAGACCAGAGCTGCAACAAGGGGTATGTGCCATCACAAACAGATGTAGCAGTAATTGAGGCAGTCTCCAGTCCATCACCTGTCGGCTTGTGTCATGCTCTGCATTGGTATAATTACATCAAGTCTTATGAAAAGGAAAAGGCCAGTCGAGCAGGAATGAAGAAAGTTTTGGGGAAGTATGGTCCTGCTAATGGGGAAGATCGTAGAAGTGGAGCTACAGATAGTGAAGATGACGATGACATTGATCTATTTGGATTTGATGAGGGAGAGGAAAGTACAGAATCAAAGAAGCAAAGGGAAGAATATCCTGCTGAAGAATATCCTACTATGAATCAACATAACTCAACCTTTGATTCACAGTATAAATCAAAGAAAGACAAAAAGAAAGCTGCCCCTGTTGCCAAGTCTTTCACCTTACTAGATATGAAACCTTGTGATACTGAGACAAATATGGCAAAATTAGAGGAGTGGCATTAAAAAAGTCAAAAAAACAATAGATTTTGGCATGGATGTGTGAAAAGGAAACACACACTGCTGGTGGAAATGCAAATAAATACAACCTCTATGGAAAACGGTACAGAGATTCTTTAAAGAACTGAAAGTAAATTTACCATTTGGTCCAGCACTTCTACCACTTGGTATCTACCCAAAGGTAAAGATGTCATTTTATATATATATATATATATATATATACACACACACACACACATACACACACACACACACCACTTGCACACATATGTTTATAGCAACACAATTACAATTCACAATTGCAAAGATGTGGAACCACCGTAAGTGCCCACAGACTAATGAGTAAAGAAAATGTGATATGTGTAGACCATGGAATACTACTCAACCATAAAAAGGAATGAATGTCTTTTGCAGCAACTTGGATGCAGCTGGTGGCCATTATTCTAAGGGAAGTAGCTCAGGAGTGAAAAACTAGCTGTGCGTGGTAGCTCATGCCTGTAATCCCAGCATTTTAGGAGGCTGAGGTGGGTGGATCACCTGACATCAGGAGTTCGAGACCAGCCTGGCCAACATGGTGAAACCCTATCTCTACTAAAAATACAAAAATTAGCTGGGCATGGTGGCAGGTGCCTGTAATCCCAGCTACTTGGGAGGCTGAGGCAGGAGAATCACTTGAATCCAGGAGGCAGAGGTTGCAGTGAGTTGAGATTTTGCCATTGAAAAGAAAAGAAAGGAAATGGGGTTTCACCATGTTGGCCAGGATGGTCTCAATCTCTTGACATCGTGATCAGCCCACCTTGGCCTCCCAAAGTGCTGGGATTACAAGCGTCAGCCACTCCACCAAGCCAGGATATAGAATTTTAAAACTTCAAATACCATGTTGAAGATGATAAAATTGGAACAGATATGCCAGAGGAGCAGATCACTGCTTTGAGAACTATATGCAATCCATGGATGTGGCTGCCTTCAACAAGATCTCAAATCCATCCTGGATCATTGCACTTAAATGAGAGCTTGAAATATTAATTAATTAGTTAATTTAGTAAAAATAAAACAACCTCAGGGGAAGGAAGTGAAAGTTCTCATTATCTTCCATTTCTGACTATCTACGAAATCTTTGTCTTCTGACATCTTTATTCTGAGTAATGGTCATTTCATTCTTATAAGATACAGTAATTCAACAGAATTCCATCCTTTAAGTACTCAGCTTTCTTTTCCCCTCACTTTGCCATTTACACTTGACATATTATTTCTTTCTTTCTTTTTCTTTTTCTTTTTTTTTTTTTTTTTTTTTTGTTGAACTTTTAATAGAAACACTGTTTCACCAAGTTAACCAGGCTGGTCTTAAACTCCTGATCTCAGGTGATCCACCTGCCTCAGATTCCCAAAGTGCTGGGATTACAGGCATGACCCACTGTGCCTGGCCAGACATATTATTTCTTTATTTTTTTATACAAGTGTATATTTTCTCCTCCCCACACACACACACATATACATATACACATGTTAAATGCAAGCGACTTAAGAACATGAACTTTTAGTTCAAATTTCTATTTTCCCAACACCTAGATCATAGAACAATTCCTGGCATATGGTAGGGAGCCAAAAAATATTTATTAAATAAGTAAATCAAATCTTCCTTCCACCTGGATCCCTTTATTAAAGTAAAATACCACTGAGTTTAATCTAATAATCTTGTTGCCTACAGTTGAAGAACTTCAGGTTCTGTCCAAAAAGGTTTATGGGCCAGACGCGGTGGCTTATGCCTATAAGCCCAACACTTTGGGAAGCCAAGGCGGGAAGATTGCTTTAGCTCAGGAGTTAGAGACCAGCCTGGGCAGTATAACAACACCTTATCTCTACTAAAAATATAAAACTTAGCCAGGCATGGTGGTGCATGCCATGGTCCCAGATTCTCAGTAGCCAAAAGTACAAGAATCGCTTGAACCAGGAGGCAGAGATTGCAGTAAGCTGAAATCACACCATTGCACTTCAGCCTGGGTGACAGAGAGAGACCCAGTCTCAAATAATAATAATAATAATTAATTAATATGTTTGAAGAACAAAAAAATATTTATGGACTACAGTGAAACAAGAATGATAAGTTGTTATTACCTAAGGTATGAACCCTAAAGATGCCCTACAACACTGGCAGAAGAAACATAAGCAAAATTATTCTAATGTATGTGGAACCTTCCCTGAGAGACCCTCAAAGAAAACAAAATATGTCAGTTTGCCAGGGCTGTCGCAACCAGGTAGCACAAACTAGGTGGCTTACACAACCGAAATTGATTTTCTCACCGTTCTAATGCTTAGTCTCTGATCTAAAAACCATTCACTCTATTCTTTCTCTTTTGCTGGAGACAGGGTCTCACTCAGCCACTCAGGCTGCAGTGCAGTGACACGATCTTGGCTCACTGCAACCTCCACCTTCTGGGTTCAAGCGATTCTCCTGCCTCAGCCTCCCGAGTAGCTAGGACTACAAGCACCCACCACCACACTTGGCTAACTTTTGTATTTTTAGTAGAGACGGAGTTTCACCATGTTGACTAGGCTGGTCTCAAACTCTTGACCTTAAGTAATCTGCTCACCTTAGCCTCCCAAATTACTGGGATTACAAGTGTGAGCCACCATGCGCAGGCTATTCTTTCAACAAATATTCTTTGACCACTTACTGCTTGTCAGGCACTGTTCCTAGTACTAAGGGTAGAGAGTTAAACAAGACAAATATATATCTGTATTGGAATGTTTTGAGCAGCCACTAACAGAATAGGCAGTTAAAAGTAGCTAAACCATAAGGACATTTTGTATTTACCCAGCAGAAATTTAGAGAGAGGTAACCCCTAGTTCAGCTTCGCTAAAATGTAACCAAATGTCTTCTCTGTGTCCTTAGCATGCTGGCTTTTGTCTCACGTTTCATGGCTATCACAGCTCTAAATACGTCAGGGATTTCTTTCCTTTCTTTCCTTCTTCCTTTCTTTCTTTACCCAGCTAATTTTTTAATTTTTAGTAGAGACGGGGTTTCACCATGTTGGCCAGGATGGTCTCTATCCCTTGACCTTGTGATCCACCCGCCTCGGCCGCCCAAAGTGCTGGGATTACAAGCGTGAGCCACCGCGCCCAGCCTAATCTATGCATTTTATCCACTTTTTCTTATTACTTAAAGACATTATTCATTTTTTGTAATTGTGTTTCTTTTTTTTAACTTTTAAGTTCATGGGTACATGCAAGTTCATTACATAGGTAAACTTGTGTTATGGGGGGTTCTTGTACAGATTATTTCATCACCCAGGTATTAAGCCTAGTACCCATTATTTTTCCTGATCCCCCCCCTTTTACCTTCCAATAGGCCCCAGTGTGTGTTGTTCCCCTCCATGTGTTCATGTCTCCCCATCATTTAGCTCCCACTTACAAGGGAGAACACACGGTATTTGGTTTTCTGTTTCTGCATTAGTTTGCTAAGGATAATGGCCTCTAACTCCATCCATGTCCCTGCAAAGGACATGATCTCATTCTTTTATATAGCTGCATAGTGTTCCATGGTGATATGTACCACATTTTTTTATCCAGTCTGTCTGTGATGGGCATTTAGATTGATTTCATGTATTCGCTATTGTGAATAGTGCTACAGTGAATATATGTGTACATGTGTCTTTATAATACAGTGATTTATATTCCTTTGGGTATATACCCAGTAATGAGATTTCTGGGTTGAATGCTATTTCTGTTTTTAGGTCTTCAAAGAATCGCCACACTGTCTTTCACAATGGTTGAACTAATTTACACTCCCACCAACAGTGCATAAGCATTCCTTTTTCTCCACGACCTCTCCAGCATCTGTTATTTTCAGAATGTGGACAGATTCAAACTGTGTTTCTTTTTCCTTTTTTTGAAACTGAGTGCAGTGGCACAATCTGGACTCACTGCAACCTCTGCCTCCCGAGTTCACGTGATTCTCCTACCTCAGCCTTCTTAGTAGCTGGTACTACAGGCAGGCACCACCATGCCCAGCTAATTTTTTTGTATTTTAGTAGAGATGGGGTTTCACCATGTTGGCCCAGCTGGTCTCAAACTCCTGACCTCAGGTGATCCACCCAACTCAGCCTCCCAAAGTGCTGGAATTACTGGCTTGAGCCACCATGCCCAGCCTAAGATTGTGTTTCTTAAAGTGTGATACTCTCTGCAGCAAAATCAGAATCACCTGACATTCGTTTTATAATCTCACTCAGCCAGCATTCCAAGGCTCACTGAATGAGATTCCTAGGGCCAGGACCCAATAATCTGCTTTAATAACAAGCTTCCTAGGTGATTTTTTATGCAATAAAACTTGAGGGCCATGGTTTTTATTTATTATTTTATTTTATTTTGAGACAGGGTCTCCCTCTGTCACCCAGGCTGGAATGCAGTGGTGCAATCTCAGCTCACTGCAACCTCTACCTTTTGAGCTCAAGCAATCCTCCCACCTCAGCCTCTGGAGTAGCTGGGACTACAGGCATGTGCCCCCTCCCTCAGCTAATTTTTTAAACAATATTTGTAGAGACAAGATCTCATTCTATTGCCCAGGCTGGTCTCAAACTCCTGGAGTCAGCAATCTTCCCACCTTGGCCTCCTAAAGTGCTGTGATTACAGGCATGAATCACTGCACACAGACCAACATGTTTTTAATTTTAATTTCTTTTCTTTTTTGAGACCGAGTCTTGCTCTATCACTCAGCTTTCCAATTCCTGGGCTCAAGTGATCCTTCTACCTCAGCCTCCCAAGTAACTGGGACTGCAGGGCATGCCACCATGCCTGGCTAATTTTTTGTAGAGAAACAAAAGAACTCAGCTATATTGCCCAGGCTGGTGTTGAATTCCTGGCTTCAAGCGATCCTCCTGCCTTGGTTTCCCAAAATGGTGGGATTACAGGTGTAAGCCATCATACCCAGCTGAACTTTGTGTTTAGAAATTGAGCAGGATCTCCTAATCAAAATACTAACTTTGGTGGTAGATAGGTGAGGGGGAAATGCTACCTTAAGATAGCAGGAAGGCAATTATTGACAAAACGAATAATTTTGTACCTAAGAAATCTATGAGTTTTAAAATACTCATCCACACATTAATCTAAACATCATTAATAATTTTACAAATATCTCTCACATGACTATGGGCTCTTCTACAAAGTTGAAAGCATATATGAGAATGGGAATTTGCTTTTCAGGTAAGGAATTCCTGATCAACATTTTTCTGGAGGTAAACATACTACCTGTCAAGCAGCCAAACAGATCC